CACATTCTCTCACCTATCTCCCAGGAAGCGTGACCACCAGTGTCCAGCACCAGCTTACTTTTATCTCCTCCTTTGTGGGAATGGGAATATGCTGGGCACACTGTTCACTTTTCTCTGTCTGTCTGTGCTGGTAGGTGTGCATCACCATGCCTGATTCATTGCTGCTTTTAACTTGCAAATCATTCAGTTTTATAAAGTGGTTATTTCCCTTTTCTCAGATTGTCTGTACACCTGAGACAAAAAGCATTCCAGCAATTGCCTTGATAGGCTCTTTTGAGATGAGATGTTTGAGTTAACATTCATCTTTTGAATGTCAGTCATTTTTGTAACACATTGGAGTCAGAGACTTACCTTGGCCCCCTGGTTTTAATCATGTTGCTTCATGGTAAGCACTGGTACTGTCTGCTGTGTGGGAGGTGATTGTAAGTGTAATGTCAGTTGGCGAAGTTCCATCTCTGGTCACCAGGAGGTTGAAAGAACAGCCTGTCTGTCCACAGCAGTCTGCATTTTGCTCTTCCATGTATGTTGCATATATGTATTGGCAGCTTCTAATTTCTGGTTGCATTTGTCTTGATTTATCTCTGCAAGACCCACAGGACTTCGTTTCATTGAAAAGCTTAGGAGGAGCACCAATTTAGCTCTTGTGTAGTCCATCCTGACTTGGTTTAGACATCAAATTATTGTCGCACAAGTCTAAGCTATTTCACTTAGCTTCCCAACTTTCTGTTTGGAGTAAGCATTTAAGAATGCTGGAATTCATAGGGTGAGAAGGTGGCTCATTGGTAGAGTGCTTGCCTTGCATGCATGAGACCCTGGGTTTGATTCCTCAGCACCACATAAGCAAAAAAGATCAGAAGTGGTGCTGTGGCTCAAGTGTTAGAGCGCTAGCCTTGAGCTGAAGTGCTGAGGGACAGCGCCCAGGCCGAGTTCAGGCTCCATCACACACACACACACACACATACACATACACACACACACACACACACACACAGAATACTAATATCCTGGCTGAGTTCAGGCTCCCTCTCTCCCTCTCTCTCTCTCTCTCTCTCACACACACACACACACACATACACATACACACACACACACACACACACTACTGATATCCTGGCCCTGAGTTTAAGCCCCACAACTGACCTTTCCCCCTCACCCCCCCAAAAAAAAAAGAATACTGGTATGTGCAAATGTTTTGTGGAAATGTACTTTGTTAGTGTGACTGTTGAAAGTATGAAATTAAGAATAATACTCTAGAAAACAGAAGCATTTGCTCTTCAGATTTTTCTTTAGATGTGTCTTGTCTGCCTCCAAGAGCTGTTTCCAGAGTCTTTGCAGAGTGCTGCTGTGTGGGCAGGTATGTGAGTCCAGTAATAGGAAGTGCTGTTCCTTTGCTCTTGGCACTCTAATAGCAGATTTAAGACTGTTAACCTGCTACCACTTCCTTGTTTGTGGATTGGTTAGTGGTTTTCTTTGCAACAGGTTCTTACTAAATGTTAAATACTCCCTTGCCCATCTCTGTCACCAATCTCAGATGTGTTTGGTATACAGTGTTAAAGTTGCTACTCTTGCCTCCTTTGGGCTTTCTTCACAGTGTGATCATGGGTTAATACATCTTTTAGTTTTGGTGTTAGGGACCTAGGCAAATACTTGGATAAACCCACTTAGAGGAACGTTTTACTTAAAGGAATATTTAAGTCATTTAAAAAGACTAATGCCTTAAGAAGTGTTGCTGTGACAAATGCTATAGTGTGTGCTGGGTACCAGGCTTTCCCACTGAGCCTCGGCCCTCAGTGATGCCCAGTTCCAGCTTGTTGGAGAAAACAGTGCTTACAGAATGACTGCTGTGGCCAGTATTGTCCCAGGACCTCCTGAATGTGCTTGTCTCCGCCATTCCCCGCCCCACCCCGACACACGCTTCAGCTTTCCAGTGTTATAAATATGCTCTCCAAGAAACACAAGTCACAACGACAGACATGAAAATAAACAATTGTCTCAGCAACACAAAGTTTATTTCTGCAGAAAGGTGTACCGTCAGCCCAAAATCTGGCAAACAAGCACACAGAGAGGCAGGCTGCTCTTATTCATATAAGGTGACCATAAAAATACTTGGAAATAAGACTTAACAGTACACAAGTTAGTTTTAAAGCATTTCCATACATTTCTTGAACAATCAGGTGTGTTCTGAGGTGAGGCTTAATTCCATCTTGGAAAACCCAGTTTGGGCAAAATGTTACATTCATAAATCCTTCTTTATCCCAAAACAGTTTCTCTTTTCCTTTCTGTACTTGCTGATCTTGTCTTAGTAAAATAATCAACAACCGCCTAGCCATCAGGCCAAAGCTGGAACTTTTAAGCAGTCCATTTTGCTAGAAAAGACAGTTTTCTCTTACGCTAGTACTTTGTTTGCTCCTTACCTTTTTCCAGGGAAGGTGTGTACCAGCCCTTTCGTAGTGCCTCAGCCAGCTTCCTCTGACAGGCTTCCGTAGACTGGCTGCGCTGTGGGGTGGGGTGGGCGTGGGAGCACTGGGATGTGGTGTGTAGATGCAGGGCCTGACACTTCTGCCCACTTCACTGTGCTGTCAGCAGTGACACACTTGGACATGGTGCTGAGCGGGGGCCTGGGCAGTCTGAATGCTGAGATAGATCAGATCCTGGAGTAGGAGTGGTGGGGAGCTCAGAACCTGGGAGGGGTTCCGCTGGGAACGAAAGGGCTTGGACCAGCCCTGGCCTGATTACCAGGCCCCTGACCCCTGTGCTGGGAGAGGTGAAGGAAGGGGGTCTTTTGGTGATAACTCCACCTGTTTCCCATAAAGTGTGTGACTCATCTCTCCAAAGAAGAATCTGCTTTGGCTGTGACAATGTTGGGGTGTGCCAAGGTGGGATTTTGGAAGGGCTCAGAGCTGCTCAGTCCCAGCGATCAATATCCTAGTGATAGATGAGATGGGGTAGGGCTTTGCCAGCCCAGCCTCAACAGCAACAAGTGCACCATAGGGCCTCGTTGGTACCCACGGTTGGCACTGACCCAGAGTTCACAGGGAACGGAACGAAATGCCACATCTGGCTCTTCTCAGAGAGAAAGTAGGAGGTCTCATGGGCACTGGAACTGAGGATGCAGAAATACTGTGATTAACTCATCTTCCATCCAGGTATTAGCACTGCAGGTGCAGCCTGGGCCTGGATCCAGGTATGAGGAATGCCAGGTGAGCCCATCAATCAGATCTCCCCAGAGCCCATCCTTTGAACCAATGCCAGGAACTTCTTCCTCTGCAAATAAGCAACTAGCCTTCCCAACAGAAGAGTAATAGCAGTCTTCCCATTTTTGTTTTTCCAGCTGCTTCCCTCTGTGTGGCAGCTTACCATGTCTTGGAACATGTTCTACCTCCCACAAATCAGGTGTCAAACTAATCAGATGGTGCTGACACTGTATCCTTGAATTGCAGGCTTTCCAGCCAGATTCCTGGAATGTGAGTTTGCTTCTGGCAACCTATGGAAAGGTGGTGGTGTTGTTTGTTGTTTTTAAATCAACCACAGACTCACTGCAGGCTGAGGATGAAGAAAGGGCAGTTTATAGTGGAGAGGCTGGTTTGCAGCTCCTAAAACAGTCCCCCACCTGTGTCTGCTCCTGCCTTTGTCTCAGGCATTAAGGAAGCTGGCTGACAAGCCTGCTGTGCTGCCTTCCTTCCTTGTTTTTGTTTCAGCCCTCTTCCAAGGTCTGATAGTATCATCAACCCCTGGGGCTCATGGCTGTCCACCAGAGCAATCTGATCAGCTGCTATTGGGGCCTGCTGGTCATTGTGAGAACGTAAAATCCATCCAAGTTCCTAACCCCTCCCTGCCTCAGTCTGGTTGGTGTCTTTGGTCTGGAGCAAATATTCTCCCTATTTTGTCTGACCAACTCTAGCTCTTTGGGAGTGAGGCTATAGGTCTCTTCTTCCAGAAGCCCGCTCTCAGCCTTCCAGCCACTCAGGCTGGAACTCCTCCTCTGTTCTCACATTCCTCTCACCTGGCCAGTTGCTTCTTGGGCTGTGTGCCATGCTTCTCCTGGTGTCATGACCTCTTTGAAGGCAGAGGCACCAGCGGGCTCTGTGCTGGATCCTTGGAGCAGGAGGAATGAACACCACAGTGTTGTATACTCACAAGCCTTCCCACCGTGGGTTACGGGGATACCCTCCAACCCTCCCTTCTGCCTGCCTAGAGGCCACCCTGTGCTGGAACTCAGCTCACTACTGTACTCCTCACAATGCTCTCCATGGCTGGAGAACGAACCCACGTTTCCCTCTGAGCCCCTGGTTTGCTGCCTCTGTAGCACACTCATGCAACATCTTGTTTTCTTACAATTATTTAGATCTATGAAACTTCCTTATGAACTTGATTTCTAGTCGGACCACCTCTGTATTTCTAGTTGTTCCTGTAGCAAATGACTACAAATGGTAAATTAGAACAACAAGTTTATTTTCTTCCAGTTTTGGAGGTCAGATCTGAACATGTTAGCTTGGCTGGATCCTTCCGGAGACTCTGGGAAAGGGAGGGGAAATCCTTGCCCTTTCCAGCCACCAGAAGGTGCTTGCAGTCTTGGCTCATGGACCCTTCATTCTTGTGTGTGTGTATGTGTGTGTGCGCACTCAGTTTTGAACTCAGTCTCATACTTCTTAAGCAGAAGAAAGCGCTCTACCACTAGAGCCACAGCCCCCCTGTGGTCCCTTCCTTATGATCTCTACTTCTGTCTTCACATCTCTTCCTCTGACCCTCTCACTCCTTATAAGGACCCTTTAGGTTGCACCTGGGCCTGGTAATTCAGGATCGGCTCCCCAACTTGAGATCCTTAGCTTAATCATCGCTGAAAGGTTCCAGCTGCCCTGTACATTAACATTCACAGACTCGAGGGCCTGAGTCCTAGATCTCTCTGGAGGTCATTACTCAGCTTGCCATGTGGTCTTTAGGATGTCAGCAATGGCTGATAAGAAAGCCAGGCTTCTGGGTTCATTATTATTTCAATTCTGCTAGAACATTTGGAAGATTTCTTTCTGATGGGATGAGGACATTGGTATGAGACTTTTAGGTGTGCATCGTTGATAAACTTCCCAGACTTTGGTCCTGAAGAGCCGACCCATAAAGACATAAATCACCGGATTCAGACAGCTGTTGATAAACGCAAAGAAGTTGGCCAGCTGCAGGCCCAGGTCAGTGAACTCCTCCCAGAAGCAGCCCTGGAGCACTTGCAACCGCACCAAGAATTCGAGGAAGGCAAAGAAATGATAGGGGGCCCAGCAGACCAGGAAGGCAGCCACTAGCATGAGGATCAGCGCCGTGGTCTTGCTGCCCCGGGGACCCCCACATCGGGTCCTGCTGGTCTCCTCCCGCCCTCGCAGAGAGGCCAGGATGTGGTAGTTGAAGAAGATGATGGCCGCCAGAGGCAGGAGGAAACCCAGCACGTTCAACTCCACGATCCTCGCAAAGTGCCAGGCCCCATGGGGAAACAGCAGGATGCAGGCAGAGATGTTCAGATCAGGGAGGGCTTTGACGGAGCGCAGCAGGAACGTGGGTGTACTCAGGAGGCCCCCAGCCACCCAGATGAGCACGCAGGTGGCCTGGGCCTGCCGTCGCCGCCGCCACCTCCAGCTGGCCATGGGGTACACGAGCGCCCGGTAGCGGTCCTGGCTGATGGCCACTACCAGGAAGATGCTGATGAACAGGTTGGCTTTGATGACCCCGTTGACTGTGCGGCAGAGGAGCCCTCCGAAAGGCCAGTTGAACTGGTTCCAGACATTCTCTGCCCAGAAGGGCAAGCCTAAGACAAACACCAGATCCGAAGCGGCCAGGTTGGCCAGGTAGATTTCTGCCACGTTCAGTCGCCGCCGCCGCCGCAGGGGCAGGAGGAAGATGGATAGGACCAGAAGGTTTCCCAGGAGGCCGAAGAAGCAGACTGTGATGATGAATGTTGGTAACACTCTGTGTAGCAGGTCCCAGGCTTCCTGAGCATTGTCACAGGAGGTGGTGTTGGGAGGGGACGGCTGGCTTTGGTTGGAGGGCTGGAGCTCCAGCAGGACCTGGGATGCCATTCACAGTGACCTGGAAGGGAAAGTGCACAGTGGCATAGGTGGAAGACTGCAGCCCACAGGCCAAATCGAGCCTGCTGCCCTGTTTTTAGTCAAAACTTTTTTTTTTCCTTCTAGCACACATTTTGTGTAAGAATTCTTGATAAGTATTAAGTAGCATTATTAATTAGAATCACATTTACAAGTAAGCACAATCTCTTACCAGTATGATTTTTTTAATTAATTAATTTATTTTTTATTTGTGAACATACTGTACAGAGGGGTTACAATTACATGGGCAGGATAATGCGTACATTTATTACCAAGCATTGCAGCCTCCTCCTTTGGTTTACCCTTCACATCCCTTCCCAGCCTCCCCCCTCCCCCCCAACCCAACCCTTCTCCTCCCCCCTCCCTTCCCCCCTCCCCCTGGACCGACGTTGTAAAGCTCGTTTTGGACATGACAACTTATACTTCTCGTTGTTGCATCAGGTCCACCTGTATCCTTAAACAACTGTCAAAACTTTTTTTTGAGTTTTTTGTTTTTGTTGGTAGTGGTGGTCATGGGGCTTGAACTCAGGGCCTGGGCACTGTTCCTGAGCTCTTTTGCTCAAGGCTACCACTGTATCACTTGGAGCCACAGTGCCACTTCTGGTTTTCTGGTGGTTAATTCTCCAGTTAACCACAAGTGCACTTTCCTGCCTGGGCTGAATTGCAGTCCTCAGATCTCAGCCTCCTGAGTAGCTAGGATTATAGGCGTGAGCCACCAGCACCCAGCAACAATAATTTTGGCACACAGCTCCCACCATCTATATGTTGTCTATGTTTATTTTCATACAACAAAAGCAGAACCAGTCTGAAAAGCTGACTTCTTTTTATTTTTAAGTGTTACTAGAATTTGAACTCTAAGGCTTAAGCTTGCTACATGGGCACTCTATCATTGAAGCCACATCCCTAGCTAAAACTGACTTAGTTGTTTTTAAACAAGGAAGCATTTCCCGGCCTCTGATTTAAAGAGGGAACCAAGGCTTTGAACCTGTCAGATGCTGTTATACCTGCTGGAAGCTACTTTGAACCATGGATGTTTACTTTCCTTAAAAAAAAAAAATTGGAGGGCTGGGAAGGTGGCTCAGTGGTAGAGCACTTGCCTTGCATGCCTGAGGCCCTGAGTTCGATTCCTCAGCACCACATAAGCAAAAAGTAAAAAGCTGGAAGTGGTGCTGTGGCTCAAGTGGTAGAGTGCTAGCCTTGAGCTGAAGAGCTGAGGGACAACTCCCAGGCCCAGAGTTCAGGCCCCATGACTAGACCAAAAAAAAACAAAAAAATAAAACAAAAAAAAATTGGAGCTAAGTGAAGTGCCCTGAAGCAGTTGTGGTAGGAACAGATGGTAGGAAGCCATCTCTCTCCAGAGCACTGGGACAGCACCTGTTGAATTTTTTTCTTCTTCAAGTGTGCAGAGATGTTGGGAACTGGGGTGACTTGACTCCTGAATGAGTGCTGTTTGCTGGCATCTGGTATTTCGGCTGCCTGAATGAGGGATGACCAGCCAAACAGCTAGCCAGGCTGCCCTCGCCTCATGCTACACCCACCAGCTGCTTTGAACACTCTATGAACGCCTTGAGGAAATTACAAATCAACCACAGCTGCTTGCTACCATAGCAGAAACTCTGTTACAGAAGTCACTGTCCTAGCACCCGGCCTGCATAGCCTGCACCTGACTTTCTGCCATCATGAGCTTGACAAACTCCAGATGATCCTGGAACCATTTCTGCCTGGAGCAGAAGGGGAACTCAACCCCTGGGAGCGCAACAGACAATCTTCTATTTATGCCAACACAGTCCTTTTCCACCTGGGACTTTCGTTCAGACTCTTGTCTTTACTCCCACTTCCTAGCTATGTACACAGGCTGCTCAATACACTTAGTGAGAGCTGAGATGAACCCTACCGAGTAGTCCCCTGGTGTTGCAACATTGGGTCCCATGAAAGGCTTCTTTCTCCTGGGTAATGGTGGCTCACGCTTGTAATCCTAGCTATGCAGGAGGCTGAGATCTGAGGATCGAAGTTCAAAGCCAGCCTAGGCAGAAAACTCTGTGAGACTCTTATCTCCAAGTAACCAGCAAAATGCTGGAAGTGGAGGTGTGGCCAAACAGTAGAGCACCAGCCTTCAGTGAAAAAGTTAAGGGGCAGCATCCAAGCCCTGAGTTCAAGCCCTAGGACTGGCACCAAAAAGACCCCGAAAGTCTCCAGTGGTCTTTCTTGCCTACTTTTGATTTTTATCATTGGCACAGCAGCTGGGCTGGTCACATGAAGAGAGGAGAAGCAAAACACAGCACTAGTGGGGCAGAGCTGACATGCCCATTCCATTTATTGTAGCCCTTGAGCTGCTGCGGATTGTCCAGTACTCATACCTGCAACTACCAGGCCAGGAGAGCATGAAGCTTGGCTCCACAGGCTGTCAGGCACTCTGGGCCAGATACCCCAGTTCAGCACTGCCAGGAGAGGGCGCCACCTGCTTCTGTCCACTGCCACGCATGACTGCTGCTAGCTGAGGATTGCAAAAAATCTTCCAAGAGCTCAGAGTAACTGATGGAGCTGCTCCTTCTTGCTTACCCATGATTGCTATACAAGTAGGTCAGAAGGACCCTAGCCAGCTGGTTTGTAACAGTGGTTGCATGGAAGCTAGTGATCACTTTTATTAATGACCATATCATTATTGTTACTAAAGAACCATTCATATTTAATGAGCATCTGCTTTGTGCCAAGACTTTATAAGACAATGGAGATAGACAAGACAATGAAGCCCCAGGTGATGGTACGCACTGTCCACAGGGGCCGCAGACACAGAGACAGGCATCACAGCCTTGTCTGAGGTCTGGGCCAGTGGAGTAGAAGTGTCAAAGTAACGATGAGGTCTTCCAGAATGAAAAGGTTCTTCTGTTGGCTTTGAAAAATGTGAGCCACAGGATAATAAGGGTGACAAAGCTGGACACTGGTGACTCACACCTGTAATCCTTAGCTCCTCAGTAGACAGATATGGAGGCTCATGGCCAGTCTGGGCAGAAAAATGCTCAGGACTCCATTTCCACAATAACCTGAAAATGCCAGGCAGGCTCGAGTGGTAAAGCACTAGCCATGAACAAGCAAGGCAAATGAAAGCATGAGGCTCTGAGTTCCAGTCAAGGTAGTAAGACTCACAGAAGAATAAGTAGCATTATGGTCTCCTCTCTCTCTCTCTCTCTCTCTCACACACACACACACACAAACCTTTCTAAATGCTTCCTGTTTATTTTCTGAACTTTTTAGCAGTCCCTTTGGCCCATAAAAACCCTGAGCTGAGTGTGGGGTCCCTGCTGCTTGTCTGCACTCATGCAGCTGGTCTTCAGCAAGGCCTGGATTGAGCCCAGTGGTCAGGTCCCATTGCCAGTCTCCTATCTGTTCATCTCTACTGTGATTTTTGCTCCTGGTGGGGGGTTGGTAAGTTGGGTCAGAGAAACGACTGTCCGAAGGCATCTGGCCGGTGAGTGACGGTGCGACGGTGCCAGACTGTGACCCCAGTGCACACTGGCCTCCACGGCCACATTCACAGCCTCACCACCCAGCTGCTCCTGGGAGGTCGCTCCCGGTTTCCATGAAGAGAGATTGTGGGAAAGAAGTGTTGTATCCTTCCTTAGGACACACGGCATCTCCCAGTGCTCTAGGATCCCACGTGGACAGGACCGTGCCCTGTACTCTTGGATTTGGGGTGTCAGTCAGCAGAGGGACCGCAGGAGATCCACAGGCCCCATGGACAGTGACGCTGTGAGATTTCTGCCACTCAGATGAGCCCCAGCACCCTCATGTCCACCCAGTGCTCTAGCTCAACTTGACATGCAGACTTGATACACCTTAACAATCGTTACCCTTATTGCTGTTACTCAGGGACACAGGAGGTTCTTCAGCTTGTCAAGGCCTTGTAGTATCTAATAAGAAATACCATGTAAGAGAAGGTTTATCTTGGATGAGCCTTCTTGGCTGTGTGACCTTGAGCAGTCCACACCATGTCTCTGAGCTGTCTGTCTTCACCAAAGGAGGACATAATAATAGGAAGAATCCCTTCTACCAGTGATGTCCTGTCACATCACCCAGTGGCTGGAGCTGCACCCCCCCCCATTCATTTATCCACAGAGCCACAACTGACTGCACAGCTACCACATGCCAGGAGCTCTCTCAGGGATCTGAGGACAGCAGTGAACGAAACAGGAAAGAACCTGCTCTCAGGAAGCCTGTAGTCTACAGGAGAAATGCTGTGGTAAGTAGGAAGCATCCCAAAGAAAGGTGGCCTTGGTGAGAGCCGAGTGTCACAGAGGTGAGCGGAAGTGAGTGGGCCCTGAGGTTTTGACCCTGAGCTTTGATCTTTGATTCAATTCAAGTGGGAGAATGGAAGTGCTGGGCAACGCCCCAGGGTGTTCACCTGCGCACCCTGCAGGTATGGAGTGTCAGCAGTGGAAGTGGCTACGACAGTGCAACAATAGAACAGTCCTCACTGTGGACTTGTTCTGTTTGGGATGATGGACATGGAGAAGATGGGAAAACAGAGAATGAGGCGTCTGAGTCTGGGATTCAGGGACAAGCATCTGAGATGATGGCACCGGGCTGGAAATCAGTGGCTAAAGCCTCACAGAAGGGAGAGAACGGACAGAGAAGAGACAGCTGCAGAACGTGTGGTTTGTGGCTGTGAATTCCCCGCGGAGCCCTGAGCAGCTCTGACCGGCAGCACAGGAAGCTCTTGGAATGCTTTGGTTATGTTGGCTTTGTTCTTTTCTGTGGGTTGAAAACCCACAAGTATGTTTATTTGACTATTGGGCAATACTTTAAAATGTTACCACAAACCCTTCTGACAATGGTGGGTGAAAAAAAATGTTTGCTGGAATTTTTAGTCTTGAATTTCTGTCTGGCGTTGAGCTAATGTCGAATGGTTGGCTTGAGCAGAGTGTTTGTGCCTGAACTCCTCCATCTTTAGGGTTGAAGGGAGGCAGGGTCAGCAG